TTCCTAATGCATTTTTTAAAATGTTGGGATTTATTATATGTATTTGTTGTTGTTGCAAAATAGCTGGCTCTAACACCACTTGCATCTAGAAGAAAATGTACCTATTTGCAGGCAAATAACTAGTTCTAGTTTGACTGTGATGTATTCCCAGCAGATATCTGAGAGCGAGTTATGACTACGTCTTCTCTTGTCAGGTTGTATGCTGGTCAACAATGCTGGCACTTTGCGTTGGATTGATATAGAAACCCCTAGTAGTATTTTACCATACATCACATTTTGTGTTCCTGTTACTATTAAAGAAAGAAAAAAAGTGTGTCAGGAGTCAATAAACACTGGGTCATGTTAAACATTGTCCTGTGCAAGTCTTTCAGTCTTGTGTCTTACCATGACCAGGGTTGCGGCAGGTGGGTGCAGTGCTGCATGGCTGGATGAAGGGTGGTGGCACTGCACAAAGGTGACACCAAAATCCATGGCCACTGCTGTCCTCCGCTGTTGGGGACAGCTCTGTTGCCATCAGCTTGGCATGTTTCCTTGGTCACTTCCTGCCATTTTGAAGTTACTTACCTTGCTAGTGACCCGCTTCTTGAAATGCCTATTCGTTGTCACACTCCTGTTGAACCAGATAACATTCTCACAATTCAACTGTTGTCTGATAAGTTTTATTTTTAACAGCATTCACATCCTCCCTCTACTATTTTTCCAGCCTGAGTCCCACAGTTTTCTCCTGCAGTTGTGGGGGAGACTTCTCCCCACTCCCACTAACATTGCAGTTGAATGAAAGCCAGGACATTTTCACTTATCTGTTTAAGTGCTGTGAACTTTTGATTCTTTTGCAATATTGTGAATAGTGGGATTTCCCCCCGCTATGTAAAAGATGCTTTCTATTGTAGAAGGCTTGGATTTAACTTTTTTTGGTTAAAAAGGGAAGAGAATTCTAGATAATTTGCTGTTTCTTTAAGCATTTCTTTTACACCAAGGAGTGCTTAGAGCATGTGGAGAAGGCCTAAGGAAAGCAGAGGGGTTTCTCTTCTGAGCATGCCCCTCAGAGAGTAAGGGTTTGTGGGGACAGCTCAAGAAGAAACTGGGCATTTGCCATCCAGCTGCCAAGGACTTGTCTTTTCTCTGAACTCTGACTAAACGTTCTCTAAGCAAACATGCTTGTAGTAATTGTTATCTTACAGCTATTTAGGGGTCTCTTTCCTCCCCCACCTACCCAAAGGGATATGGCTAAATATTTATGCTTGCACTGATGATTCCCATGACTCTTGAGAATGCATCCGATATCAGAGGTTGCACTGAAAATTACAAAATAGCATGATGGTGGAAGGGAGGTTTTACTAACTGATTCCCCTTTCCCATGTAATTTCTCCTCTGTGGAGTACTTCTACTTCAGTTAATAAGACTCCTATCCTCTTTCACCAAGTATGGATAGAAATTTTTTTTATCTGCTTTGTAGAAAGAGGGGATAATTTGCATGTGTTTATTTTAAACAGTGCTGGAGAACCTAAATAAACTACACTAGGTGAACCGCAATCAACATAAATTCTCATCTGGTGGCAAATCGAGTCAGTGCCAGTGTGCAGATCTGCTCCTTTGCTGGATACCACAGTGGTAAATCTTCCTGTTAGTGGTGAGAGAGGAGGTGTTAGCCAATAGTGGTGTTAGCCAACACCCTGGAGACTGATTTAGCAAGAGGGGAGTCAGAGTGTGGCTGCCTAGTCCAAAGGTTTTGGAAAAGTTGTTAATCTGGCTGGCTCTTAAAAGTCTATACTATATAGGGGTGGCTGGTGAGAAGCATGGAAAGAAAGGCCCTGTAGTCCAAGCTTATAGAGCTCTGAAGAACACTTGTGATTACATGCAGCTGTTCTTTGTTCCTTTAGTTCTGACATTTTCTCAGTTTATACCTGCTGGTGTGTCTTGTGCTAAAACACCTCAGAGTAGCAAAATTGGAACAG